CATTTCGTCATGGACTTCTCAGAGGTCAGAATAGGTCACTCACTTCAAATGACCCAGGTCAACATTTTGTTTTTCGGAACGTGCTGTCGAGCGTGATCTTTGTCGCTTATTTAAATGCAAAACCCAGAGCAGCTTGCATGATCTTGGCCACCATGACATTCAAAAGGTCAAACAAGGTCACTGACCTTAAATGGGCATGCGACCTTTTGTTTAGAAACGGCTATCTAGGTTCTGGAGTCACTTTGGAGACCAGCCTGCAATTTGACATTGTTTGACCTCATTTGACCCGAAGGTCATAACCTACAAACCTTAAATTTGACCTAAGTGATTTCACGTACAGGTCAACACACCCCGTAAAATTGGTGTCTCTAGCCCTCTTAGTTCCCGAGATCTCAGAGGGAGGGGGGGGGGAAATTGACCCCCACCCGAACGAGGAGTATCCAGCCGGCCACCCGGGCGCGTGTTAAAGCCGCAGGTCAATTGCGGATTGACCTGGTAAAAGCATGCATCTGCATCTGTATGTAAATCATAGTTTGCAAAATAATCTATGCGTGACATGTCATAAACGTGACATGATTGCACGTGACGTATCATAAGCGTGAGGCCATGAATGCCTAACGTTGAATGACTGGTCGTGGCAAGCCCCCACCCGTCACGTCCGGGTTTAGCCGCTCCTCGTGCTCCACACCTCAAAACACACGAGGAGCGTCGTAAGTCCAGCTGCGGTCCAAGCCGTCCCACAAACCACCAGACCACAGCACATAGCACGTCTTTTTCTTCAGCTATGTCGTGACTCCACATTGCCCGTGACATGCCAAAAATTCTGTAGAAGTGGTAAGTGGTAGGCGGAGTGGAAAAAGGCCAAATAAATAAAACCGAATAAATCAAAAGGCACCGCACCTACGCGATGGATATCTAGGGTTTTCGCAAATGGTGAGCAGGGGCTGCGATCCTGACATGATCTCTGCATCACGTAATTCGATCAAACCTATTGTGAGCAGGGGCTGCGATCCCGACACGATCTCTGCATCACGTGATTCGATCAAACCTCTACACACAACAAACCAGAGCAGCACCCAGAAACAGATCAGAAATCAATCACCCACAGAAATCACACCAATCACAGAAATCACACCAGAAATCACCAATCACAGAAATCAACAAATCAGAGCAGCGCCAGAAACTATCCCATACAGTAATAATCCCTAGAATAATAAACGGGCTGGTTTTGACATTGTTTGACCTTGGTTTTGACCTTGTTTGATCTTGTTTGACGTCTATACCTGAACTTAAGTCAACATAATTTGCTCATTCAGTATTTTGTGTTGCCTAAGAAAGGATCTAAAAGATGTACGGCTTTGTCTAACACTCCGTTGTTGCACCAGATTGAACGATTCCCTAGAAATTTACTTCGCCGAACCTATGGCCTGACTTCGATCTGCCACAGGCCAGTGACCTTACAAGGTACATCTAAATTGTTGATACCTTACGATCCATTATTGAATTGCCTACCGATTCTAACACTTGTTGCGGCTGCGCCGCGCCGTTCGGAAACCTTCTGTAAAAAACCTTCGGGTGAAAGGTCAGTTTGACCCCCATCCGAGCGCGGGTTAACACACGCGCTGGGGTGAGGGGTTAACTGGGCCTCCCAAAGGTTCTTCCGAAATGGTTTCTAAAACAGCGCGGCGTGGCTGCGCTAAATTTTGCATAGCTATAGACAATCAAATACTAGATCGTTTGGCGTCACAAATCTAGACGTATCTTGCAAGGTCACTGACCTATGTTCGGGCCAAAGTCAGTTCATAGTCTCAGCAAAGTCAATTTCTAGTGAGTTGTTCACTCTGGTCCAACAACGGAGGTGTTAGACGAAGTCATACATCTCTGAGATGCTTTCTTAGGCAATACAAATACTGAATGAACAAACAACACTGGCCTTAGGTCATGCGTAAAGGTCAGACCAAAGTCAAACCAATCTGTTTTATTACTCTAGCGCTTGCCGTGTGGGATAGTTTCTGGCACTTATTTCGAATTTTTGGATAACAGAAAACCGCATTATACACCTTCCATAGACTTCTTAAAGGTCAGAATAAGTCACTGACCTAGAATGACCCAGATCAACATTTGTTTTTAGGAACATACTGCCTAGCGTAATCTTTGTCGCTTATCCAAATGCAAAACTCAAAGCAAGTCGCATGATTTTGATCACCATGACCCTCAAAAGGTCAAACAAAGTCACTGACCTTGGATGAGCATGCGACCCTTTTTCCTATAATAGTTATCTATGTTTCTAGAAGCCTCTTGGAGACCAACCTGGATTTGACCTTTTTCGACCTTATTTGACCCGAAGGTCATGACCTAGGAGGCTCAAACTTTGACCAAAGTGAGTTCACGTACGGATAACACATTGCCAATTGGATGTCTCTAGCTCTCTTAGTTCCTGAGATATCAGGTGGGGTCAAATTGACCGCCACCCGAACGAACGGTATCCAACCGGCCACCCGGGTGCGCGCTAAACGAGGACTGTTTCCGTAATTGGGCCTTGGCCTGTAGAAAGCTTACAGCAAAATCAACAATAACCAGAAACAAACACATACCACGGCAGCAAGTGACGCCTTCCACACTCTTGAGGAATGAATGAAAAAGGAAGATCTGGACCGCAATCGATGGATGATGCAGAATGAAATGTTTAGGTCTCACTTCTTAACTTGGCACTTCATGATGAGCATTACAGATCTAGCGATGGACCACGGTCACACCTTATGGCGGTGGCCAGAATGCTTAATGCAAATTACGAGTTGTTGCTTCTTGACGTGACACTCTATGATGAACATTATGCCGACATAACGTAAGAAGTTACCACAACGCCAGATAACTGATGACAAACAAAATCAATGAGTGATGAATGTCACGAAATCAGAACAACAGTTGCTGATTAACGGTCACAGGGTTTTCTCCATCCGGTGGGCGACCACGAGGAAGGTTTTTCGCGCGGAAAGTAAAGGTGTGTTTGCCCCCCCCCCAAAAAAAAATTTTAGGGTGCCCCTTTCCCCAAACCAAAGTCATTACAGCTTCCCATATATTGCTGAAATTCCGATCAAGGAGGCCCCAACAGCTGAGCTAGAAAGCAATACATAAGGCTCAGACGACCCCTGTTAGATCAAGAGGTCCGCTTTCTGGACCATTAAAGTCACGTCTATGAATAAGGTTTCCCATGCTTTAGATCAATACATCTAATCATCTGTTGAAGGGGTCCTTTTGTTGGTTCGGGAGGCCCCGTTACAAGCAAGAGTAGATCCTGTTCGCAGTCATGACGCACCCTTTACATTCAGAAGGCCCTATTTCTGGAACAGGAGGCCCCCTTCATGCATCAGATGGCCACGGCTCAGATGGCTCGGTATCCTTGCCTTGGTCGGGCAATCAGTGTCTTGTATCGGGACAATGAGCCCCCTTGGCTAGAATTGGAGGCCCCATTCGTGAATCGGAAGCATCTTGTTCTGGATTAAGACTTCCCTCTATGCGTCAGGAGAGTCTTTTTGGATCAGGAGGCCTTGCTTAGGTTAGCGAGACCCTTTTCTGGAAAATGAGAAGGCTCCCATTCATAATTTTGTAATTTATAAGGGATCACCGGCCCTTGGTACCCGATATCCTTGAATACAACACCGCCCCCCCCCCCCCTGTGAACTAGTTCCATTTCGTTCAGAAGTCCACCTTAATTCGTGGACAGCCTCTGGGGCCATGATGGTGGGCCGTCTCTGGGGCCATGATCGTGGGCGCCTGTGAGACCATGATCGTGGACCGCCACTAGGGCCATGATCGTGGGCGGCCACTGGGGCCATGATCCACACATTAACCCACGTCATGCTTTTACTGGGTGCGTCATAAATTTCGAGAGTTGTCATCCCCGCGCACAAGATATGCGTTCTACTCCCACCCCCCTTCTGACATACTGGGCAGTCTTTTAGAGATGAGAGACCAGGGGCATCACTTTGTATACTTTCGTGGAGGCGGCTGAGTCCTATAATACTGAGTTGAGGTCCCCGTAATGCTCCTCTAAGTCTTCTTAATGCATAGGAGCAGGGAGGGCATACTG